CCAGTGTTAGTGGTGCTGATAGGGTCCCAGCGTTCCTTATAATGAGAGTACATCATGATAAATGAGAATACACTGATTGAGATTTCAAGGATTGGTTGATGATGATGATGATGATGATTCTTGATTCTTGATTCTCGATGATACCAAAGCTGTCACCAGCTTCAGCTGCACACTAATTAAGAATCTAATTAAGGACTAACTCAGGACTAGATCCCTCGTTTTTAGTAAACCTGCTGATGATGACAAAGATGATGACTACATCCGTAACACCCAGCCTCACAATCTATGAGCAACTGCTAGATTCCCCTAAACCAGACTCAGCACTCCAACGACGAACTCAACCTGTCCAATACTGGCCATTGCTGTCATGTTCTCACTACCAAGATTATTATTAGGGGTAACTTCAGCAGAGTCACAAAAACGAGTTATAATTGCACTATGGGGCAAGATACAGTTTGCAATTGCACTTCGGGCACCCTACCTGGCCAGAGAGCTGGGTTGTATACATTGCCCAAACTGCAATTCGGAACTGTATCTTGGCTCATACTGCAAATATAACTCATTTTTGTGACTCCCACCTAGTTTCCCCTTTTTTGTTTGTTGAAAAAGCCCCTTTGTAAGCCCTCTATCCCAGCGGTGGTGAGAGAATCACCAGGATTGAGGGTTTATCCATCCGGCTGCTCCATCTATTGGTGGGGAGCAACACCTACTGGAAACCGGGCCCAGCGTCCCATTGAACATCTTGTGGTACATAATTTTGCTGTTTGTTTTCCTAGGGCTGTGGGCGTTCTGTTCTCATTCCGGGGCTCCCTTCACTACCAAGATTATACCTGGCGTCAAAGGTTGCATTGGCAGTCCCTCCTAGTTCCCCCCGGGGGTGCCTTTCTCCCTCGACAAATCCCCAGATCTCTCTACCAGGCCTCACGCTCCTGCTGCAAAACAGGTCACAGGGATAACACCCAGCACCGGCCAGCGTCGTTCTGGCATCAGCAAACCAAGAGCTCATAACACGACTACTCTAGCAGACACCAGCCAGGATTCAGCTATCGCGGAAATCCTGTTATCCATAATAGACAGAACTAAATGTTGCCTAGGGAGCGTCAAAGCCAGGTAAGCTGGACATAGCCTGATTAGGAATGTGCTACGCCCTCCTGGTTCTTTAAAGACAGCCGTCTGCCTCCCAGACACATGCTCAGTACTGAAGAAGTTAGCGATGATGAGGAAGAAATTAGAAAATCCCTCCCGCCCTCCTCCTTCCCACCCTGTCCCTTCGCTGGGTCTGCGGATAAAGACTGTCGAAATTAGAAGACTTTCCCCGTCAGCCCCAACTTGGAACAGTCCCATTCTCACACCCTCTAACCCTGTTGAATACTGTAACGTGCAGACCAGAACAAGAACCGACCTTTCAATACAAAGTGCAAGATAACACAGCGGAAAACTTAGATACCAGTGATCCGAACAATCAATGTTGTAATGCAGCCCTGAACATACATCATCATCATCGTTACATGGTGTGAATGGGTCTGGCGCTTCACACAGGAAGACAGCGCCAGCCCATACCATACACAGACGAAGAGGAAGGGGATAGACGAAGAGGAGGGGGAAGATGGGAATGTCGTCAACACCAAGTCTTCGGCACAAGCCCAAATAGTCCCTCGTCGAAATGTCTGAATCCCAAATGTCAAGTCTGGAT